GAAAAACCAGGTAATCTCTTCCAGAAACAAGGCCACATCTGTGTGCTTCTCCAAATTCAAATTTGTACAAAGTCTGCTGACCAAGCTTCCTAGGTAGAAAGATGTCCTTGGCTAGGGTGGGAAAGAGGCAAGGGGGAAATGTAGAAACCCAAGAACTGGAGGAAGAAATTCTTGGGTTGTTCTGGGGTCTGTTCACCAGCACCCACCTGGATGGAAGGAGAAACCTGGGTGTGGGAGCGTGTGGAGGAGACATGGAGCTTAAACTTGGTTTGGACCAGAATGAGCTAAAATGAGTCAGCCCCCCCTCACCTGCCGATTATTTTCCCACTCCTGCACCTCCTGCCCCCTCCCACACACACACACAAGGAGAGGGCAGGGAAAACACACCTTGCACCTGGATGTGGATCACTTCATAGACACGCTTCACGATGCCGTCCAACACCGCGGAGACGTTGGCCACAGGCACCGGCCTCGGCAGGCCCAGCAGCAGCCTCGACACTGTGGTCGAGGTGTCCCCACAGGCTGAGTGCAGGTGGTAGACAGCGGCGTCCATCGGCTGCAGGGCACTGGTGACCTGAGAAGCCAGAGTTAGAGCATCACCCAGGGAAAGCGCCCCCATCACACAGGCAGGGAGACTGCGGCCTGGACAAGCCTACAGTTAATTGCGCGTGTGCCACTGTGGTCTACAGAAGAGAACCCCTAGGATGGTTTATTTCTGTCATCATCCCAGTAAAATCCTGCAAACCAGATCATAAGTACTTGTGCAACACCAGTTGTCATGGGCTGAAGAGTGTCCAGCCCCCTGAATCCTTATGTTGAAGTCCTACGCCCAGGACTTCAGAATGGGCCCTTATTTGGAAATAGGGTCCTTGCAGATATAATGAGTTAAGATGAGGTCATCCGGATGGGCCTTTGCCTAGTCTCACTAGTGTCCTTACATAAAGAAGAGATTTGGACACAGAGACAGACCCTGATAGAAGGAAATGCTGTGGGGACACAGGGAGAAGACAGCCACCTATAAGCCAAGGAGAGGGGCCTGGAGGGGACCCTTCCCCCACAGGCTCAGAAGGACCAGCCTGCCCACACTTTGATCTCGGGCCACAGCCTCCAGACCTGTGGGAGCATAAATGTCTGTAATGTAAGCCCCCCAGCCTATGGCTCTGTCATGGCCACCCCCTGAAAAGCACACAGGTTAACCCCCGGGCCCTTCCGTTTTCATCCTCACAGGTCATGACAGAGGTTAGATCAGGAACTGGGGTACCGGACACCCAGCCACAGTTTCATGTTGCACACCTGATTTTTTTAGCTTCCGTGATCCCTTTTCTCATTTTATACGAATCCTTTTTGCTCCAGCCTAATATCTCTTTAAGCTCTTTCCATGTACTGTTTAAACCTCACAGCCACTGTCTCCAGTAAAATTATGACTATTTCTAGCTAATGAAAGTGATATCTAAGGCACAGAGAGGTTAAGTAACTCACCCAAGGCCACAGAGCTAATGAGTGGTAGCACTGGGATTCGAACCCAGGCAGTCTGGCTCTGGAGCCGCGCTCTCACTGGCTAATTGGGCCATCTTCCCCTGCCCCCAACAAGCTCAGAGGAGACAAAACCACCTCCAGCTGGGGCAGTTAAGGAGGCGTCCAGGGACAGTGACCTTTCGGAATGCCTCTCAAGCCGCTTTACTGGACAGCCCAGAGCAAGGTGAGTGTGTGTAGCATTTGTTCTGCAGGGAAGGGACCCAAGTCTGGGGTCTTACCCCCCCACCCTATCACCCATGGGACATGTCTGTGGGATTTGAAGGTCATGCAGGACAAGTTACATAGTGTGGGGACGCAATGCAGAAGGAAAATGGGGGGGCTTATTCAAAAAGTATGAAGCATTTCAAGAGGCAACAGCAGAGCCTTAAACAAAGTGTGGGACCCTTCTGAGCCTGGGGTGACTCCATGGGACACTGGCTTATGAGGGCAGACCATCACCCTGGAGAAACCTCCAGGCAGTGAGGACGAGCAATGCCCGGTCCACCGCTGGGTGAAGACACCCTGTCTGGAAGGCCACCCCAGCACTTCCCAGCCGCTGGGAGCTGCGAGGGAGGCAGTGAGGGCTCAGCTCTGGGGCCCAGGCCATCCGCACTGGGGCACCCTTCGGTTTAAGCAGCAGATGGTTGAAGATGAGGGGTCCCGTGTCCTACACCGTGACGGCGTAGGGCTTACAGCGCTGCGTGTACCAAACTCAACTGCACATTTCTGGGTGTGCATTTTGTTGCTCTTTGAAGCTTTGTTTTTAAATTCGGAATTCACATCTGCTCGAGTCGGGCATTCTAAGGCCCCTCGTGGAACCCCTCCCGAGCCCGGCTCCCACTGGGCCCCGTCCGCGCGGGCGGGCGGCCTGTGGCGCGTCAGCCTCACCCACCATGGAGTGCAGAAGCCGCATGTGGTTCAGGAGGCCCGCATCCACCTGCCGGAGCTCCCCGAAGTCCATTTTCACCAGGACGGTCACGTTGTACCAGGAACTCGCCGAGGGCCCCTCTGGAGCTGCAGGAGGGCACAGGCTGATGAGCTACAGGCCCAGGCCGACGGGGGGCAACCCGGGGCCCTGTAGTGAGAAGGGGCACAGGAGGCCTGGAGGCAGGAGGCTGCCCATCCGCATTCACCCCCCGATGGAGGAGGCGGCTGCTGCCCGACCGGCATGAGGCACTTCCCTGCCTCCTGTGCGGCACCTCTCTTACATTACGATCTATGTAATCCTATGTATACACTATAATATATTCCTGAAGGTAATGTATACTCGATAATACCGTATGTAATATATATTTTATAGAATATGTATACTGTGGTGTATAGAGTAAAATAGATTAATTAATATATATGATACGTGATACTTTACATTATTTATACTATATTAATACTAGACTATATTATAACATATAATGTATATGATATTTTCTTTTTTTTTTAAATCCTCACCTGAGGATATGGGGGTTTTGTGTGTGTTTTTTTAAATATATTTTACTGATTTCAGAGAGAGGAAGGGAGAGGGAGAGAGATAGAAACATCCATGATGAGAGAGAGTCATTGATCGGCTGCCTCCTGCACGTCTCCTATTAGGGATCGAGCCCACAGCCCGGGCATGTGCTCCGACCAGGAATCAAATCTCGACCTCCTGGGTCATAGGTCAGTACTCAATCTCTTAGCCACACCCGCTGGGCAAGGATATGGGTTGTTTTTTTTATTGCTTTTGAGAGAGAGAGGAAGGGAGGGAGAGAAACATCTGTGTGAGAGGGAAACATCGATCGGTTGCCTCTTGCCTGCACCCCGACCGGGAGCTGAACCTGCAAGCTAGGTATGTGCCCTGGCCGGAAACTGAACCCGAAACCTTCTGGGGCAGGGGGTGACGCTCTAACCAACCGAGCCATCCGGCCAGGGCAATGTATATGATATTTTTCCCTAGCTCTGAACCTTGACCAACCCGTTCTCCTGGGAGAAGCCCCGGTCAAGACCAGAACCTTCCAGACCAGACAGACATGCCCTGAGGGCTGGGCCACGAACCTGCCAGGCAGGAGCTCTGAGCAGGATTTCGGGTCCCTAGGGTGTTTCAGGACCAGGTGAGTACATTCCCACTACGGGACAGGCCAGCTTCCAAGGAGTGCCACTGGAGCCTGGGTTCCCCAGGCAACTTGCGAAACAGATCACTGCTCTGCCAGGGGAGCCTTCCCCCCTCAGGGCACCTGTGAGAGCTCCTGTCCCCCTGAAGCGGCAATGGCCAGATTTTGGCAGAGACGCTGCATTGAGCGGGAGTGGGATGCGCCTGCACACAGCTGTGAGCTCCCCGTGACGTGGTGATCTTGGCTGGGGTTCCTGGATATCGCCACCCCCCCAACTTCACCAGATCAGGCCCAGGCCCAGCCCATGGGCAGCTGCCTCACTGGATGCCTCCTTTGCTGTAGGTCTTGGTCCTACCTTGGGGTATGGGAGCCATGCATTGGTGGCCCCACGACACGGAGCAGCATTTCTGAAGTCCAGGGCAGTCGGCGTCCAGGGTACAGGGCGAGGTGGACACTTCCTGCCCCACCTTCGGGCAGACCCCAGGCCTTGATGCAAACTCCTGGGACCGATTGAGGGCTGTGGAGAGTAAGCAGCAGTTGATGATGTTAGCAGTAAAATCCTACGCAAGCTGCTCAGGCATCACCTCTGGGTGCCTCCTGACACTGGTTCCAGCTCTGGTTCTCGGAGTGCACAGTGTGGCCGCTCAGGGGCCAGGCCTGGGCTGTGCTGTTCTGATGTCTAAAGTCCTGGAGAAACTGCCACACAGGAACTGGCTTTGGGGACATAAAAAATGAGCAAGCGGTACTGCCCAGAGAGCCCCTGGGACGGAAGTGCCAGCATCCCTGTGGGGCCACCAACCACGGACCTGAAGCTCTACTTTCTCCCCCATCATAAAATCCAACAGCATTTCGGTTAAGGAGCCATGAGACTAAATGTGAGGTGGCTCCTGGGACAGAAAAATGATATTAGGAGGAGAAAAAAGTGAAATCCAAACAAAGTGTGTTGTTGAACTAAGAGCAATGCACCCATGTCGGTTCCTTAGCGGGGAAATGTGTGTGATGGTGACACAAGACACTGACACTAGGGGACATGTTGGAGGGTGTGGGGAAACTCTCTCTAGCGCCTTTGCAACTTGTCTATCTAAACTATTCTAAACTAAAAGGTTTACTTAAGAAAGTATGGGCCACCAAGAAAAATCGGCTTCCAAAAATGGTTGTTGATCACGACAGACATGTTTTCAAGGTCAAGTTCATCTTGACCTGACCCCTGCGTGGACTCCCCTCCTTCCTTCCCACTGGGCTGGGCTCACTGAGAGCCCAAGAGAACAGTCCACAATCCCAACGTGGTAGAAAGTCAGAAATCTCCGTCCACTATCTCAACAAACAGTGAAATAGGACTGCTCGGTGCCTGGCAACCCAAGACTCGTCGCGGTTCTAGGGGATGGCCCACCGGAGGTCTGAGCATCGGCACTATGGCCTCCTGGGGGCAGAACTGCGATCCTTCTGGAACACCATTCCCTCTCTGCCTCCTTCCCAGGAGCCCTCCTTCCCCAAAGAGGCCCTGGGATAGCCTCCGGGTGCAGTGGGGTCCTTCTGCCATGACGACGGGACGGTGGGGAAGGCGGGCTGAGTGGAAACCAGGGCGTCACCACAGCGGGTGAGAGTCGGCTAAGATGCTCAGTTAGTGCCACCCCCAGGGATCCACCTTGAGGGAATGGCCCAGCGGGCGTGTGGCGGTGTTTGTACCACCAGGCGCTCACGCAGCATTATGGACAATAATGAAAACTTGGAAGCAACTAGGAGTTAACTGGTAGGCGATTGCTTCATGCTGATGCATCCACGTGAGGTAATGCCATGTGGCCGCTGAATCATGCTGCAGGACAATATTTATTGACATGAAACGTGGCCCAGACACACTGCCAAATGGTGAAAGCATGCTACAGCAAAATCTCGAACGGGGTCACCGCGCTCTTGGAAAACGCCTGCCCCGAGT